TTAAATACTATAAAATATTTCTAGACTATCCTTAAAAATCTGACCATCCTGCCAAAACTAAGTCTAAAGTAAAAAAATTCAGACTTTCCCGCAATATTCTCCCTGATAATGTTGAAATTGATCATACACGAGGGAGGATCAGATCAAAATGTTATGTTTGATTGAAGCGCACAGTTTTTCAGCAGTGGACATTTGGGATCCTGGGATTTTTAACCCAATGAGAAAAGTTAATTTGCTTCTCATTAGAGAAAATTTATAAACCGTGGTATCCATCAGCCTCCATCACACAGTGATCGCAATCATTATCATTTTCAATTTATGCTTTTGCAAAGCTCTATTTACTTTGTCTACATTTCATCATGATGTGACTCTAAAGTGCTTGGGGACAGTGCTGTCCGGAGCACATGGAGATATGCTTGGTTGTTGCTAAATGTGCATTATTTTTGTGGGAATGTCAGTTTTGCAACAACTTTGAGATGAGAAAATGGCTATGTGGCGAGTATACGCCAATAGCACGGATTTCGCATTACCTCAAGAGTCTGGCGGTGCTGTAGTGCTCGCTAGAGGAAAACAGGAAAGAAGGGGTAGCTCTGCTGGGTAGGGAGCAGAGAACCTGATTAGTCCAGCTTTAGGAATGCCAAAAACCTATCTAATAGTTTTTGGTTTACTATTGTAAGCCACCTAGGGGAAGAATTATTCTCAGTGATCTAAGCTCATTATATCAAAAAGAAAAAACACGATAAAAAGATGACTACATGGGTAATATAAGGGATAGATATGCAGGTTTTCATTTTTGTTTGCTTAATCTCTGAGGAGAGCAGGGGGAAGGCAGTTCACTCATTTTAGACAGATGTTGAAAGAGCCAATTCTAATTGCTACTTGCTAAATATCACTAAAATAATTGTTGATGGCAAAAGAATAAAGATGGTATTAAAAAATGACACTAATTTCTCCTGAATAGAGATAGATAAATGAGCACCTATATATTTCTGAATCATTCTTTTTTTAGTGCTGAAATTCAACGGCTGAGAAAAAAAAATGTGGTGGCTGGTATTAGTTGTCAATTTCACTGGTTCAAGGAATATCTAGATACCTTTAAAGCTTTATTTTGAGTTGTGTCTGTGAGGCTGGTTTCAGAGATCAGTGTAAGTCTGAGGGGCTGGGGTCTACAGCACCAAGCTGGGTAGGGACCCAGAGACAACAAAGAAGGGGAACTCCCATGTCTATCTCCTGGAAATGAGATACATTGCTCTTTTCAATGGAAACTGGAAGTGAAGTTCTCCAACATTTGAGAGCTAAGACACTAGCAGCTCCTAAATTCTCAGTCCTTTGCCCTTGGACTGAGTTTACACCAGTGACTTGCCTGACTGGGACTTTTCGATTTGAGCTTGGCTGTGTTATCAGCATCTCAAGGTTCCCCAGCTCTCAGATGACCTGTTGTGTGATTTCTGAGCCACTCCCCTTAATCATATGAATACGTTTCACTAATAAATCATCTCATATATTTACACTGGTGTCTGTCTCTCTCTCTCTATCTCATCTATTCTGTCCTATTGCTTCAGTTCTTGGGAGCACCTGGACTAATACAGTGCAACCACCATATTCATAGGTGCTTCTGCCTCCCTATATCTTCAAACTCACGAAGACTCTCCTCCACATCCTCTTCAATGTCTTTAACTTCCTTGCCTGTACCAGTACTGGAGGAAGCTATCCAGAGTGTGGGGCTCCTAGGAGAGGAATCTAGAAAACAATACACAAATTCTAGTCTAAGCATGTTATTGACATGAACTAAGGCTTATAGATAAAACTGCTGGCTCAAGGTCATGTTTCCTAGGTAGACAACTAATATCATCTTCATCAGAAGCATTTATGAATATCCTTTCTTGTGTAGGGAACTGTGATAACACTGAAATATATGTGGACTTTCTATAAAAGTACAATAAGCCGAACTCTAGCAATGAGATAACTAATGTCAACATTTCTGTTTGAGGGAGGCAATAGGACTTCCAACTTCACTGAAATGTATTTCCTTTTAAATGTTGGGTGATACTATTGTGAGTTTTAATTGACTATGCACATACCAAAGGCTTTTCTGAAGAACAGAGATAATTAGTGACTGATATGTATATTGGTGTCAGTAATTTCCTTGGGCAAGGGAAATCTAGATAACATTAGAAAATTTCTCTCTATAGATATTTTGTAGTGGCTGCAACATGTTTTGTTTTATTATTTCTCAACATTACTAAAGTTCAATGATATAGAAAAATTGAAAGATTATTATAATGAACATCAATAGCCCCACCATCTAGAGTTGACCATTAACAGTTCACTTTGCTTGCTTTATAATTTATCAGTCTGTCTACCCATTGTACTACTCACCCATTAATACAGCACATGATTTTATATGTTTAAAAGTAAGTGCAGATAACAGGATATTGTATTTTGAAGGAGTAGTAGAATTGAAGAATATTCTCACTTTTATAAGATTGGTTGGAAAATTTCATTAAATTTAGGAAACAAAACAAAGAATAAGCTTACCTGGAATTATGCACAGATATGCATCAATGTTCACCCTTTAAGTTCTGGAAAAAGTATGTAAGTTATTTTAATGCTTTGTTTAACTATGTCAACCCTCTATGCATTTTCAGTCCTTATCCAAATACTTGGTTCTCTGACACATGGGCTGCCAAGCGTAGAACAGCAAGCTCTGCTAATGATTAGGAAGAACTACTTGTAATCCTATCAGCCAGTATTCTTGTTCTTTGTTTACACTCTAATGTCCCCCTCCAAGTTATTCTTAAGTGTAGCAATGTAGCGCTTTCTACATCTTGCTCTGCTCATTAATAAAGTGAGTTTTTTCATTACTTATAGCGATGCCTTGAGATCAAATGTGAAAAAGTAAAATAATACTTTGCTAAAGTACAGCACTTTGCAATCTGTGATACTATTATCATCAATAATCACAACACATCTGTAAGAAAACACAGCTGAGGTAATGGTTCACAGGGCTGCATGGCTTTTTACATCATTGGGAAAGATTCAAAGGTTAAAGGGACAGAGTATTGGCAGCTGCCTTCACGCTCCCTATCAGTCTAGTCCTCTTGTCAAGGACCTAGAAGAACTTCAGTATACATCACATGGACTTGCTTTCATTAGCGAAGTGTTTGTTTTGGAATTCCTCCCAGCTTTAAAAGGATGCTTCCATTAGCTGGGCACGGCACCCATGATTATCCATCTTATCTGACTGGTACCAAGTGACACTACTTACTGAGCGCCATTTACCTTGGTGGTGTGGAAGGAAGAAGGGCAAGGCACTCGCTCAACATGCAGAAAGACATGGAGAAAGTGCATTTCTTTGAATAACATCTAGTAATGATTTTTGAATAAAAATTTCTGAAATGAAATATCAAGGACATGAAATGATGGAAAGTCTCTCTGCCTTTGTGGGGAAAATTCTGCTGCATGGATACATAAGGTTGGCAAGGATGAAGTGGGATGTTTTCCATTTTGCACCTGGATGAACACAAATTAAGGAAGCGAGGAGTAAGGCCAAAGCTGACTGGGTTAACAAGCAAAGATATAGAGAGAAGGGAGGCAAGCTTATAATTAATTACTATTCTCGAGAGTCTGCTAGATCTCTGGCACTTTATGCTTCAATGGAGTTGAAGAGAAAGATTTGAAGTCACCCTTGCCCTCAAAAAGCATAGCTTCTAGGTGGGGTATGATGGTACACACCTGTAATTCTGCATGTGGGAAGGTGAGGCAGAGGATTACCATGAGTTTGAGACCAGCCTGGCCTACATAGTGAGTTCAAGGTCAGCCTGAACTGTTTGGCAAGACCATGTCTCAAAAGTGAGAAAGAAGGGTGGACCAGATAGCTCAGAGGATTAAAGCACCTCCTTAGGCAGACGCAGGGGCCGGGGGTTCAATTTCCGGCCTTGGGTAATGGCCCTGCCCCCTGGGGTGCACTGAAATGGAGAATGAGACTGGCCTTGGCGGTGCATGCCTGGAATCCCAGTGCTTGGAAGGCTGAAAAAAAAAAAAAAAACAGAAAGGATGACTCTGTAGGATCCTTGTAGGATCAGACTACAGGAGTCTGATCTGTGAGGTGAGACTCTGTAGATCCTGTACTAATTACATAAACAAAGAAGTCTTTTCAAAAGATAAGAAAGAAAAAGAAAGCATCCATCCCACTAAAAGTCAGGTAAAGAAGACAATCAGGAGAAAAGAAAATTACAGATTTTAAATGGACAGGATAGGATGTATGAAGAGAGAAAAAGAAGTGTGATGTATGATTAGACTCCAAGTTGTATTCAACATGTGTGTTGAGCGTCTTTACAATGTACACAAAAACATCAATGAAAAACATCTAAAGGGATATAAATGATTACTTCCAACATCAAATCATACTTTTCACTCAGGAAAAGGAGAAGCAGAACAGACTAGTTATACTTAATAAAGGAGAAACTTTTTGGCCCATGAACTCAGCCAAGTGGTACTGGGAGCGAGAATATTTCTTGAACATGAGATGCTTGCATCAAGGTAGCACCTGCAGACACCACTAACCACACAGACATACAAGTTTCCTAGGTTGGTTCTGCATTCCTGCTGCAAACTTCTAATCATATTTACTCTTTGGCTTTTATCTAACACACATGCATTGTGAAAAACAAAAAGCGATCCAGAAGGGTCAAGAACTTATATGTCCTATTACTGAGATTTCTTTCACATTGTAGTTAGAATAAATTAGAGTGTGTGTTAACACATGTACATGGGCATATAATACATAAATGTAAATATATTCAATGCATGTTTGTAAAAAATTGCTAAATCTGAATTTAGAGCAATGCAGATATCTAGATAATTGAGTGAAAGCTTGTATGGTAATACAAGTTTACATTGCTCTAGGACTGCTCAAACATCCTTACTGCACTGTTTGATGGCACTGTTATTCCTTCCATGGTTTTGCCAAGCTGCTGTTGGCTGCTCACTTGCCATACCTGACTGCCCGGGCGGTGGGGCGCCTGATGATCCTCTTGGCAGACAAAGAAGCACAGTCAGAACAGCAGCTCTGTTCCCAGCACAGGGTTCAATGGCTATAGGCTTGGGTGCACCCTGAAAAGAAAAACCCATTGTAAGTCCACACAGTTGATGTGACACTGCTGCCTTCCTGCTTTTGCCGCCCTTTACCCTGCTGAACAGTACAGTCCTGGTTTGGGGGGACACCTGGCACAGTCGTGATGTAGAATCAGTTTTTGCTCAAATAACTGAATGCATTTTATTATATATGATGTACAACTAGTGAGACATTTTCTTTTTTTTCCAAATTACTTCTCATTAATATTGTGCTGTATAATCCCTTATATCTAATTAAGTGACTGCAATTCCAAATATTCTGTGGACACATCTTTTTCTTTTTGTAATTATTATTTACAATCTACATTGAAAGTGTAGAACATGATATGCATAATAAAATCATTACTACAATTAAGTAAATTCACATATTCATCACTCCACATAGTCACTTTTTTTCATTTTGTGGTAAAATACTTATAATCTATACTCTTTGTAAGCTTTTAGCACACGGTGCGACAGTACCACCTCAGCCCTTCTAGCATTAGCTCTCTAGACTTACCCTAGAAAACTGCAAGTTTCTACACTTTGACTGACTTCTCCCCATTCTCTTTCCCTCCCTTTCTTGCTGACCATAGTTCCACTTTCTGCTTCTATGTAATTTGGTTGTTTAAAACATCCTCATATATAACATCTTTAACAACTCTTTAGTGAAATACACTTTAATAACTGACCAATGCATTTGTATGAATAATATAACAAATAAATTAATACATGAAAATAAGAATAATAGTACTCTCGTTTTATTAAGTAATTACTATGGGATGGTGGTATGGTGTGTGTGCAGTTGTCCTCCCAAAGCTTCATTCAGTCATTGAGGCACAGTTCTACAGTTTGTGATTACTTCATGATCCAAGGCTGGGATTATGGGTCTGAGTACTGCTGGGATTATGGGTGTGAGTGCTACACCCAGCCTGGGGCAGAGAACCTGAAGGTAACTTTCTCTGTAGCCCTTGTTGCTGTTACTTCTCCCTTTTGTTCTTGCAGTTTTGCTGCCTTCTGCTGCCATGAACTGCTGCCCTCTGCCATGTACCCCTCTGCCCTGGAGCCAGCTGAGTATGGACTGACACCTCCAGTAACTGTGAGCTAAGTAAACCTTTTCCTTTTTTCAGTTTTGGTGTCAGGTATTTGTCCCAGAAATGAGAGAAGAGTGAGACAACTGGGCATGCAAAGTACCACATATATTAAGTTACTTATATCTTACCACAGTGGAGCAAGGTAAGACTCTTGAAGCAAGAGGGTATAAAACTCACTCAATTCATATAGCTAGGAAAAACTAGCAGGCTTAGCACTTCAGCTCAGGTACATGGCCTCCTGAGTCTGTGTTACTAAGTACACAGTGCAACTTATGTGTGTGTGTACAAAGATGTACTGCACACATGTGTATATAAGTATACAGTATGCACACAGACTCTCTCTGTTTCTCTCTCTCTCTCTCTCTCTCTCTCTCTCTCTCTCTCTCTCTCTCTCTCTCACACACACACACACACACACCCCTTGCAAACATATACATAGAATTTGAGTTTCAAAACAACATGACCTTTGAAACAGTGAAGATATCATTTTAGCATAGGAATGGTTTTGGTTACAATATTCAAGGAACCACAGGTGAGAAATGGTTGATAAATAAAAAAAAATCTCTACATAAAGTCAAAATTTAATTAAAAATGCTATGGATTTAATTGTTACAGCAAATTATTTATTCATGCTTCCTTTCTCACTAATGATACCCAAAATTTCAAAAGACATATAGACATATGTAGTCATTCACCTAGAATATTCTAGAATATAGCTGTTGCCAGAAAGTTTAATGAGGCATTAAAGATAAAATATGCTCACTTTCATGTAAAACTTAGACTGAAATTTCTGGTGACAATGGTTTTATGTGGTTATAAAGGATTTCTTCTTTATAGCAACATAAATCTCATGTTTTAACACTTACTCATATAGATACATTTTGGGAGTTTGCAATATAAAGGTGAAGGTGGCCCTAGTGCTGGAAGCAAAGGGCAGTTAAATGTTTCAGGAAGATGCTGTGGGCCATGCTGCACCACTTGTACCAAGTTACATGATCTATGATTTGATACTTTAAACCTTACTCTTCATTTAACATAGTTATCTTTGAAAATGTTCAATCAAAATCAGCATAAGTACATAGATATTCTCAATGATGTAAATATTTAGACACTATGCTTGCAATATTTCAAGGATAAAAGTACTACGAATGTCTCCAACCATATTTCTAGACTAAACTAAAATTTATGTTAATTTTATAATCACAAAATATATATAAAAGTCAATTGTGTACACTGTAGTAAGAGAATACGAAATGAAATCAGAGTGTGACAGCAATATATTAGAATATCAAAATATTTTTCACTGTATATAATAAATAAGTGGCCATATCTACTAGCAGACAAGGGTTTCTTTGTGCACTTGTTTTTCAGCTCCCAGTGTAATAACTGACACTGGAATACCCAAAATTACATTATAAACACTTGGCTACAAAAACTGTAAACAGTAAATTTTAAGATTGCCAAATTTAAAAATCTTGAGAAACAATATTTCTTAGTTTAGACGTTTTAGGAAAACAATAGGAAAGTGTTAGTTGGTCATATTGCCAGACCATCACTCTACTGTTTTTAATACAGCAGAAAATAGTTTTAAATATCAAATGCTCATGTTTAAATATCAAAATATCAGGGTGAGAAAAATTAGCAAAATATAACTGTAAATATCTAGCAAATATGGCTTCATTATTTAACACTTTAGACATCAGAAGCTCAGCAGCATACAGGGACAGTGGGGTAGAACATCTGGCTTGTGGAACAGGGATTGTGCCTTGGTAAATGCTATTTCTATACAATCTTCCTTAGAGTCATTATCGCACTTGTATCTTACTGCTGTTGTTTAGAAAACACTCAAAAGTGTTTTTATTGATAAACCATGCAAAAGGAGAAGATAATTCCATTTTAAAATCAATGTGGCTTAAAATTTGGTCTATTTTTAGCTATATAAGAGATTTCATCAAAGGATATTAACAAAAATATGAATTATTCATTATGTTCAAAATATTAGTTACTAGCACAGCTCCTTGACACTTCTGGAAGGAACTCATAATTAAAAAAATTATTTCTTAAGGAGCTGGACCGAATAGAATTTTCAATTCAGTATTTCAATTAAAAAGGGATATTTGTTAGCACTTGAATTTTATAACAGAAAACAGCAAAATCCTACAGATGATAACATTTCTGCTACTTGGAGGTTTGTCAGTTGTTTCATGATAAATACATAACCATGAATCAAAATCATTTCACAGTAATATAACATGTTCACTGAACTATAATTTATCATGCATTTTCCATGGCTGCTTTTGAAAGAGATAAAGTATGGGTTTATTTGTCCACAGCACTCTGCAACTGGGGCTTACTTCTAGGCTTGTTCATATTTATTGTACTGCAAAAAGCTAGTGCTAAACTGTACAGAAAAATTACTGAAAGTTATGTAATTAGCATTTCTTGTTTCTTAAATACACAACAGTTTTATAAAAGACGTGCTTGGTTCATGTTAGTGGGTTTGAAGTTACTGTATTCTCATTTTAAAGTTGATCAAAAGGCAAAAGGAATTACATTTAAATCTTCCCACTTTTAAAGTATTAACAACAAACATTACCAGAGAAGCTTATGGAATCATAAGGATTTTCAAGATGAATACTCTTAAACTCACAATAATTTGTTCTGAAAGTGAAGCTGCCTTTGAATCCAAGTAATGTTCCAGGAAACTGCTTGGACATGAGCCACGTTTAGAAAACACAAATGGGCAAAGCTGGTTCCATGTTTCTTCTTCAGTGGCCTCTCCAAGGGTAGCAAGTGACGTGCTTCTAGATGTCATCTGAGGCCTGTCACAGCATACCCTACACCTAGAATCTGAGGACTTTATAGAACTATCTATACCCAGAGCCTAGGCATTAAAGCTACACAAGGATTCACATTTTTTAAAAAGGATGTTATGTCATTTCTCAAAAACTTTCTGAATTTTCTATAGTTCCAAAGTAGGGCTTGCAAATGTTTTAGAACTTGTCTCCCAGTCTTTTATTATAGGTTCAGCTAACATATTGTATGTCCTTGAACCTTGAAGGCAGGCAATTTATCAGCTGCTTCTTTGTATTATAGCCTCTCCTAGAGCACACGGTATAGGGTAAGTGACAGGGTGAATGAATGAATAAATAAACTTGTCACAGACATTGTTCAATGTAACTGTAAGACAAGACAGTTCTTATCTAAATTATGTATATTTAAAGTAATAATAGAACACTGGAAAACATCGACAGTTAACATACTGAATACTTATTTTGTGCCAAGTGCCACGCCTTGTGCATTATTGTGTGTAATTACATAGCAGGTATATTAAAGAAATTTATTTTCCATTGTATATAAGTGAAAAAATTAAAATTTAGACAGATCGAACGATATTCTCAGCTAATACAGGAATTGGAGCTCAGATCTGATTCTAGGTACTTAGTCGTCAGTATTACAAGAAAATATTATTTAAGAAGCCAAGTAGACTCATTCTCTTGACTTGTTTACAGAAGAAACCAACTTAGAATTCCAGTTATAAAAATTATATACATAAGCCTGTCCCGCGTGTGACCTCCATTTCAAACACTAGAGAGTCCTAGGGCCACGTTAATCACTGTCCAGCTGTGTGTCCTGGGCATGTTATGAAAGCAGTTTCTCCAAAAAAAGAAAAGAAATAGGCAGGCTGGCTAAGTTTCAGGCTCTATTTCCTCTTTAACATGCTGTGATTATAATTCATCAATTTCCCCGGAATCTGTGATAGACCAATTTCACTAATTATAGTGAACTTTTACAGTTCTAATACTTTGTAAGTTTTTTCCCCTGCTCAGACACTTTCAAATGGAAAATCAAAATTTTAAAGAACATTATTATACCATATGATGAATACATCATGTAAGACTAACT